AGACATGAGGTATATACTTAAAAATGTACTAATGACAAATCTAGGGGGCACACTAACCTTAAGGCTCTGCCCTCCAAGTAGAGTGCAAGCAATAACAGCACCATAACATATCCAAAATTGCAAAGGACCAACAAAATATTTGCCCCATCCAGGACCTGGCAACACATGAAATTAACCACATGCATAAATATATATAGTCTCATTTTATAGAGGGATCCCTCAAATAGACATTATGTGGGATCCACTATGAATTCCACTTCAACGATTCAAACCGTTTATATTTTAAGTCTTCGTTCATAGATATCTTTAGAAGAAAAAAATATATATAAAAATTTGGAAACTATTGAGGCATCTAGTTGTTATCAACAAAATCGACATACACGATATTGTTTCAAGAAAACACTAAAATAACAATTACACTCACCTAAAATGTCTCTGGCCATGTCTCGAAAGCGAAGCTGACGATGTCCAAGCTTTTCTTGGTGCTCCAAAACCAGAGATAAAAGATTGTAGGAATAGAAAGTGACCAAACCAGCCAAGGCAAGGCAAATGAGTCCTCCAACCCAGCCTAGCAAGGTGAGAGCAAAGGGAAGACTTAGAAGCACGGGAGCCACTATGGATGTCGTCAAGTGATACCCACAATGCAACCACGACCCTATACCACAAATCAAACCACCCACATACAAAACATTTAGAGACGGAGTAGATAAATACATCTTATAAGTATATCTCTATCTCATAGAGCTTTGAACATTTGCCAATTTGTATTTTGGTCCATCAAATTTAAGGAGCTAAACAGCCAATTTTCAAGTTTGAGGATCAAAATGTAACGAGTATAAGTTCAGGGACCATTATTCTTGAAAATTCCAGCGGACTCGACTTGAAATGACAATTTTACCTCTAAATTTGACAGAAAATGTAACAAATATGACGACAGGATCAACAGTAAGAGAGGAAATGAAATTAAGTTGGAAGACCAAAATGCAAATTGGCCATAAAGTTAAGAATTATTACTCCTAAAAAGCCCAAAAAAGAAAAGGAAAGAGAAAATAGAACCCTAGTACTGAAAGCTCCGGCATAAAGTAAAAAGAAAATCAAACAATATCATATCATGTACTAAGTTCTAAGCACTAATAACCTTGAGATTTGAGGACGAACAAGGCTCCGGCATCAAGCTCTTTTGGAGGGTTGGCAACCACACCGTTTTCCTTGTGAACACTTGCAGTTGCAGATACTTCCATCAAGTTTGGAGCCACCGTTCCCATCTCTCTCTCTCTCTCTCTTCAGTGAATGCCGTGACACATATAAGTATATCCAGTACTTGGGGACTGGCGAGAGCAGTGACACATATAAGTATATCCAGTGCTTGGGAACTGGTGAGAGGATAATAAAGGGGTAGCCATGCCAGTCAAAGTCAACCATACACTTTGGACTGTTGGATGCTAAATTTAAGATAAATAAATAAAATGAAGAAATATATACAACATAAGAAATAATATATAAAAGCTAGAAGCACTTGCACGACGACGGCATATTGGAAAGAGGCGTTCTTATTTCAAAAACTGTTTTGGACGAGTCAAGAAAGCCGTCCGCCAACAGCATGTTATACTAAGATACAATTTGGTTACTATCTTTATGTAGAATATGTGCTTCTTGGTCAAATGATGGGCTATCCTAAAGCGACAATGGAATAAGATATCTCTGTTTGGCAGTGCGCATGCTTATTTAATTTACTGTCAGAAAATGCATTTTTGTTTAACACTAGAGTCAAATGATGTTTTCTCCTCAGATTATATGTAGATGTTATCAATTCTGCCGTCAAATAGAGTCACTTGTTGAACACATGAGTCACCTTTAAGGGACCTCTTCGTTATTTCACGTCTCATTTTAGTAAGTCACGTTCTTAATACTTGACTTTCTTTTGACAAAATTTAACGGCACTTTTTGTAAAAAATATGGCATGATATGATTAAGAGGACCTCAAAAGGTTCAACACGTGATTTTATTTGATGGTATCTTAGATAAAATTGCTTAGAGATATGATCGTGAGTAGATTGACCAGTTTTGTATAATTGGGGGGGGGGAACAGGTTGAACAAAAATTCTGTAGCGATAATTTTACAGTGCGTTTTTGTTCTGAGTTTATTTTGTCTATTTATGGTCTCAAAAGTCATAACAGTGACGATTAAATAGGGACCTGAAATTGACCAAAATAAAAAATAAAAAAATAGGGACCTGAAAGCAATCATTTTACAGTGCCTCACCCAAGTGCGGTGTGGGTTTGTTTCATGTTTTCGCTATATGAAGAAACAACTACGTACAATTTACATGGAGAGGTTTGAGATCCTAAAGCAATGTATACTTATTTAATTTACTGTGAGAAAATGCGTTTTTGTTTAACATTAGAGTCAAATGATGTTTTCTCCTCATATTATATATGTAGATATTATCAATTCCCCCTTCCCCCTCCCTCCTCGGAACTATATAAAACTGGTCAATCTACTCTCATAATCATAGTCCTAACAATTCCAATTAATAAGATGCCGTCAAATAAAGTCAAGTGTTGAACACATGAGTCACTTGTAAGGGCCTCTTTGTCATTTCATTCCTCTTTTCAGTAAGTCACGTTCTCAATACTTTACTTTCTTTTGACAAAATTTAAAAGCACTTTTTGTAAAAAATATGACATGATATGACCAAGAGGACCTCAAAAGTTTCAACATGTGATTTTATTTGATGGTATCTTAGACAAAATATCTTTGGACTGGCCTAAGCGAGTTCAATTTCAGAGGACACTTTTTGTAAAAAATATGACATGATATGACCAAGAGGACCTCAAAAGTTTCAACATGTGATTTTATTTGATGGTATCTTAGACAAAATATCTTTGGACTGGCCTAAGCGAGTTCAATTTCAGAGGACACTTTTTGTAAAAAATATGACATGATATGACCAAGAGGACCTCAAAAGTTTCAACATGTGATTTTATTTGATGGTATCTTAGACAAAATATCTTTGGACTGGCCTAAGCGAGTTCAATTTCAGAGGACACTTTTTGTAAAAAATATGACATGATATGACCAAGAGGACCTCAAAAGTTTCAACATGTGATTTTATTTGATGGTATCTTAGACAAAATATCTTTGGACTGGCCTAAGCGAGTTCAATTTCAGAGGACACTTTTTGTAAAAAATATGACATGATATGACCAAGAGGACCTCAAAAGTTTCAACATGTGATTTTATTTGATGGTATCTTAGACAAAATATCTTTGGACTGGCCTAAGCGAGTTCAATTTCAGAGGACACTTTTTGTAAAAAATATGACATGATATGACCAAGAGGACCTCAAAAGTTTCAACATGTGATTTTATTTGATGGTATCTTAGACAAAATATCTTTGGACTGGCCTAAGCGAGTTCAATTTCAGAGGACACTTTTTGTAAAAAATATGACATGATATGACCAAGAGGACCTCAAAAGTTTCAACATGTGATTTTATTTGATGGTATCTTAGACAAAATATCTTTGGACTGGCCTAAGCGAGTTCAATTTCAGAGGACACTTTTTGTAAAAAATATGACATGATATGACCAAGAGGACCTCAAAAGTTTCAACATGTGATTTTATTTGATGGTATCTTAGACAAAATATCTTTGGACTGGCCTAAGCGAGTTCAATTTCAGAGGACACTTTTTGTAAAAAATATGACATGATATGACCAAGAGGACCTCAAAAGTTTCAACATGTGATTTTATTTGATGGTATCTTAGACAAAATATCTTTGGACTGGCCTAAGCGAGTTCAATTTCAGAGGACACTTTTTGTAAAAAATATGACATGATATGACCAAGAGGACCTCAAAAGTTTCAACATGTGATTTTATTTGATGGTATCTTAGACAAAATATCTTTGGACTGGCCTAAGCGAGTTCAATTTCAGAGGACACTTTTTGTAAAAAATATGACATGATATGACCAAGAGGACCTCAAAAGTTTCAACATGTGATTTTATTTGATGGTATCTTAGACAAAATATCTTTGGACTGGCCTAAGCGAGTTCAATTTCAGAGGACACTTTTTGTAAAAAATATGACATGATATGACCAAGAGGACCTCAAAATGTTCAACATGTGATTTTATTTGATAGTATCTTGGACAAAATATATTCGAAATGGCCTAAGCGAGTTCAATTTCAGACTCTCTTGTTGTTATTTGGCTTGATGCTCTTGATTTTGTAAACTTTGCCATTTGATTTTGCATTTTCTTGCATAGCTTCTCTAATTCCATGACCTTCCACCTTGCAAATGTGCTCTAAGTTTCTCATTGTCAGCCGAGAGATCGAATTTATCGGCATAAACCACATGTTGTTCATTGGCATTAAATTTCCTTTCCCCATTTCTAACCTCATTTGCACTACATACACCAACGACAAAGCATAAACAGCGTCATATAAATAATCTTCAAAAGAGACTCAATATATTTTTTGGTCGAAAGGGTGGATGGTGATTTTCTCACTTCCATTTTATTCACTTACACTCCCTTTTGTCTTTTAAATACTTTTTACTATAAATAAAAATGAGTGTAAGTGAACAAAAGAGGAGTGATAAAATACAATTTAAAAAAAATGGAGTATAATGTAAGTGGATAAAAAAGGAGTGGGAAAATCAGTACCCTTTTTTAAAACGTTCTATTTTTTTATAGAATCAAAATTTAACAAGAATAAAGGTTATGCAGTAGAGCAGTAGAGTGCAGATCAAACCCACAAAACCAAAAAAAAAAAATTCCTGAAAAAACAAAGTAGTTCTTGCATATTTAGCTGTGACAGTAATCTGACTGAAAAGGAGTCCAGTACCTTGGGAGTTGATGAGAAAAAGTGCCAAATAAAGACCATAACAAATTTTCAACACATGACACTAATGAGTCATACCTGCTTTGATGTCAACCGCTGCAACCTTCACAACTAATATATAACCATCCAAAAGGAAAAGAAGAAACTAATAGAGATACAATGATAAAATTACAAAAACAAGACTTTGTTCCCTTCCTTATTTCATTCCCTTTTCATTACAACTTTCCATGACATTCCATTCCTTTCAAAACTCCCAGAATAATACAATAATCAGGAACAAACCGCCAATTACAGATTTGACAGCATTGAACATTGCTTCTAAAGCATCTGGATTACTAAACTTTTGGCTACAAAACTTAGTCCAGAAAATTTAGAAAACTTAAAGGGAGAACCAATCTGAATATAACCAGTCTACTGTAGTATCAATAATTAATGTAGAGCTCAAAACGTGCCTGTTCACACCACAAATTACAAACCAAGTGATGAGCAAACCAAGTGTGTTTTTGTCGTGGATTGCGGCACCTATTCAATGATCATATTCGGACCACAGAATTATAGTGCTCACCAAGCCCAAATGCATGCTTATGGTACGACAACATAATACTCGAATCAGAAGAACCAGTACTGCTTCTATCAGATTTGTACTCCTTGCCCATCTCCACATCAGGGAAGGATCCTGAGTATATCATGATACACTTTTTGAGGCAGTGAGTTAAAGCACCAAGCTCTAGCTGTCCTCCCCATGCCGCTGTTGACTCCACTTCTTTACAGAAGTTCTCAAACCTCTCTGCAAGTGAATCCCCAGAATCTCCATCTACTGGATTCTCTGACAAGAAAAATGGGAGAAAATCAGACGCATGCTTCCTCATATAAGCAGCCACCATTTCCCGAAGCTCTTGGTACGTGTACGGTGATGAACCTCCAGAAAGATGGGCCAGCTGATCCTGGATAGCTCGGTAGAGGCAATGACCATCGGGCTTTATTTCATTAATGGTCAAACCAAGCGGTTCAAGCTTTTTCGCTAGTTTCTCATTCTCAATCAATCGATCACTTACTAGGTTGCTCTGCTCTTCTTGAATTCTTTGCTCCCTAGCTGCATCTTGCTGAGCCCTTTTGTCCCGCCTCTTTGAACTCTTGCTGGGCTTTGCTTGGTCAGGTTGACTGGTGACAGAAACACCAGCTATAGCTTTCACTAAATTGTCAAGTTTGGCTTTCTCAGTTCCATTACTAGTGCTATAGCCTAATGAAGCAAGTTCTTCAGTATGTTTTTCTTTAAGCTTAGCAGAAAGCCGAGAAATCTCTTCCTCCACCTGCTTTTTCTTAGCTTTTTGTTCAGCCTTGCTCCCTTTGGCAGCTGCCTTCTTCATTTCAGTTTCCTTGTCCTGAAGTTTTGATATCTCTTTCCTGTATAAGCAGACATGTCAAAGGGGAATAACAGAACTATCTATGGGAAAGTTAACAAGGTCGACCTAAACAATTTTAAGGCACCAGCCTCAAAGAACATACAACAAATCGCCATTCTTGTTATATCAACCACCTCTTGGAGAACATGAAAATGCATCACCAACGTAATTTCATCAATGCAATTATATAGAAGTTAAACTGATCTTATTTGCACTACCAATGTAACCACCAGCCAAATACAACATCATAAGAATAAGTAGAAGATAACAACTGATAAAAATGCAGACATGATGAACAAACAACCTGTGCCTTGAAAGCATTTCATCGCGAGTTTCCCGTGTATTTTCAGATGATTTGTCTGACATTGTTTCAGATACTTCTTGGGCATCCTCCATTTGAGCAACCCTTAAAGCCACGTTGAAAAGTATTAGTATTATTATCCATCAGGAAGATCATAAAGTTTCCCACTTACTGGCCTAACCCAACATCTAATAAAAGAAGAAAGTATGAAATTTTCATGACTAAACCAAATCCAAACATGAAAGATAACGCCACGATATACAAGGACCAAGAGCTAATTTCACAATTAAAAAAACCCAAAATTAAGACTCTGTTTCGGTTCACGGATTTGAACCAACGATTTGGGCATGCTGAGACTATGAATCTGAAATTCCAAATTTATTTTAGCTGATATGTAGAACGAAATCTACTTATCTGAGAGTCCTAATAAAATTTGATTACCCTTTGCAGACAGCAGTTGATGACCCTGGTTGACCGGCGACGTCTGGGAGTTTGAGAGAGAAACAGAGTGTGAGAGATGAGAGATAAGAGATCACAGTTTGGGTTAGGGTTTCAGTTCGAGATATGGGCTGACGAAATGAAAATTAGGTATTACGGCTGAAACTGAGAGTTTGAGAGAGTCTAGAGAGGTGATGGTGGTATGAGATAAAAGAGTGACAGAGAATAGTAGGGGAAAAACATGCTAAAAATACTACTACTATACCCCACATGACCACATTAAGCATAATTCCAAACAAAGCTAACGAAATCCTAAATTAACTTAAGTGCCTAAATGAACACTATCACTATCATCTGAAGAAGCGCTGTCGCGGTTTATACTCACCACCTTATATAGTCTTAAAGTGACAAAACTTATGATAGATCTAAGGAAAACATGGCTTTCAATGATCTAACTATGCATAAGAGCGAACAAATACGCCAAAACAACCGTTACAAAGAACAATTGGGTGATTGGTGGAGTCTTTTTGTTAGAAGGCTTGACTATGTTGTTGGTTGTTGGACCACTGGAAATAAGGTGCATCAAGCCTTTGTGTACCCTATTTATGAGTTGGCAAGAACTAAGCCCAAAATACTTCGAAAGATAGAGGATCTTAGGGAGTGCTTTGTTTGGACTCCTTATTGGCTCCTTGAACTGGAAATGAAAATGAGATTCAATGGTTGAGACAAAATTAGAAAAGGACTTGGCATGAGAGGCATGAAGTGTGGGAGCTAAAGACCCACAAGTTTAGCAAATGAGAATGCATGTGTGTTCCCTTGGTGTTGGCTATTCTTGAGCTTGGGACTAAGGTTTTTAGGAGATTTTGGTGGTTAAAAACATTTTGACTATGGTGATGTAATGCATAGCTTGGGACTTTGAAGGTTATGGTGTTTATGGGTATGATTCTTAGAGAAGTTTATGAGTTCTGGAGATAGGAGGATGAAGTAAAGGCTTGGGGTTATGCTTATGTCTAGATTTTATAAGGAAGAAGGATTTCAATGATAGAAAGGTGAGAGAAACGTTTGAGTAGGTTATGGATGGGATGCTTGCAATAGCCAAGGGAAAGGGGTCAATGGTTGCTTGGATGCTTGCTGCTACCTAGAGAAGGGTCCCTTTGCCTGGGTTATGAATGCCAAATTATATCAGGCGAAGATCTTCCCTTATTTTCAATAGGTAAAAGTAGGTGTTTGAACCAGTGTATTTCCAACAAGTAAAAGAGAGCATTGAGACATGCTTATTTCCACTAGGTAAAACTATGTATCAAAAAATTGATTATTTCCTATGGGTAAAAGGAAGTGTTGAAAATATATTACTTCGAGCAGGTAGAAAGTACTGGGAATGGCTTGTTGCCAATGGGTAATAGGAGCGACAAAAATGGCTTGTTTCCCACAGGTAATAGGAGGCGCCATAAAGTATTTCATTTGCTTACCCATATGAAAGAACTCCAAGTAATGGGCTTGGACTTTGGTGCTCTCTATTTTTTAGTTAAAATTTAGCTAAAAACCCACAAAAGTTATTTTAGGAGGTCTTTATAAAATTTGAACTCATGCTCCCTGGTTTAGGGAGCCATAAACATTATAATTATTTTTTAATTCAATGGAAATGGTCCATCTCTATAAATATATATATATATATATATAACTTTCTCATTGTTTAGGTTGTTAGAGCATTCACAATCACGCTCTCTATTTTTTAGTTAAGGGTAAATTACTCAAATAGTCCTTAAACTTATACCTGAATTACATTTTGGTCCTTCAATTAAATTATTCTTTCAAATGGTCCATCAACTCTATATTAATCACTCCATTGATCCCACCGTTACATTATGTTAATGTTACCGTCAAATGTAAGGATAAAACCGTCCATAACCAGCCTATGTTCCCCAAATAGGTGATAAAGTGGTAATACATAAGTAATAAAGTGGTGATACATAGGTGATAAATGGGTGATACATAGGTCAAAAATCTTATTTGCCCCTACAAATGTAGCATGTGCTGCTCACATAACTAAATTTAACATAAAATGTAACGGTATGATCAAAGCGCCTATTAATAAAGAGTTGGTGGACCATTTGAACGAATAATTTAGTTTAGGGACCAAAATGTAAATCGGGTACAAATTTGAGGACCATTTGACTAATTTACCCTTTTAGTTAAATTTTAGCTAAAAACATATAAAAGTTATTTTAGGAGCTCTCTATAAAATTTAAACTCCAATCATGCTCTCTAGTTTAGGAAGTCATAAATGCTATAACTCTTTTTTAATTGGTCCATCTCTATTTAAAAATAATATAAAAAATAGTTGACATTAATTAAATGTTTGAAATACTCATTAAATAAAGCAGCTTTAAATTATAGGGAGCCACTAAAGGTATAGGGAGCATGGTTGGAGTTCCTAAAGGTATCCATAGATTTAGGAGTTCCTAAAGGTATCCATATTTTAGGAAGTGAATAGGGAGCATGGTTGGAGTTATATTTTTCCAATTCTTCTCTAAAATTTGTCTAAGGAGGTGGTTTAAGGAGTCCATTGTAGATGCTCTTAAATGATATATACTCCATCTCCACATGTTATCATATGGATAATAAGCATATGGTTGGTGATGCTCGTTAATCACATAAGTACATTCACGTTCACATGTGAAGCTATCTCTACTTATTGCACACTGCATTAAAATTATGTGCTTCGCCATATATTAGGTTTGAAGCTCCAAGTAGTTTCTTGTCTATTTGCCAAAATTTGCAAACCAATCTTTGTCCCTAGATATGCAGTGAATCTTCACGTTTTGTCCACCCCCTAACTTGTTGGTTATATAGACATGCACTTTGACAGATTTTTGGACGGAACCAAACGACGTAGACTACTTTTGAGCACGCATGTTAATGAGGACCACGAATGACATAACGAAAAAAACAAAAAGGATACAATCTAATAATTTCGTAAACCTTATGAATGTTTTGTGATAAAGAGAAAAAAAAAAGGGAGACTTTGAAAAAACACAAAAGAGAGAGAAATTTTGTAAAATAAGCAAAAATAGACCAAATTACCCTTATTTAATTTTGGATTTCCTAAGGAATCCTTTACATTTGCATGTCTTTGATTTGAAAGTTAAGAGGTTTTTCTGTCTTTTTTCAAAAAGCTTTGGCTTTTTCCAAAAGTAAATTTTTTTTTTTTGGCTAAAACCTAAATTTACTAAAAAAAAATGGTAAAAGGATTGGGTGTCGTGTAAACAGTTTTCAGTTGTGGGTTTTCGACCACGCAATCTTAATTGAAATAAAAAGCCCATCTCAAATAAGTTTGGGCTTACAATGAAAATGGGCATCTCGAACGTCAAACGAGCATCAGTTTCAGACACAGCAGAAGCTCAAATCTTGCAATATAGTTTTCAAATGACCAAACTACCCTTACACCCCCAACCGCAACTAAAGTCTCACAGAAGGGCACGCACTAGAAACCGCCGACCTCACTTGAAGAGAAGAACAACCTCCCCTGTCTCTGAGCGTTGCTGCTATGGCGAAAGGTGACGATGCAGTGAGGAAGAAGCAGAACAAGACCTATAGAAAGAAACTCCGCAAGAATGACCAATCTAGCTCTGCAGTTTCTGCTCGCGTTGCCTCCATTATCGCCGCCAAGAAGCGCCGCCATTCTGGTAAACGCCGCAAATGCCAGGTATTTGCCGTTTGCCTTTCTTCTTTCTGTTCTTGGGGTAACACGGTTTCTTAAATTTGATTATTTTGTACGATTAAAGACAACACATGGAGCAAAAAAGAGAAATTCGTATATCTTTTATGTGAATGTCAGTTTGTGATATTTTGTTAAGATTGCATTGAAGTATATGGAAAATGAAATTATGGGTTTTTTTTTTTTTTTTAAAATGTGATTCTTTGGGGTTTTGTGCTTATTTAGGTGTGTCAATATGGAGTCTAAGTTGGATATATATTTTTTTTCTTCTATTGGTGGATAAGTTGTGTGTGTGCGCATGAGTTTTGTCTTGAAAGATTGTACATTTACTATGGGATTAGTTTGAGTTTGTTTTCCCTTCTGTTATTAGGTATTTTCTGAATTAACCTCCTTTCTGCAAAAAAAGTTGTCAATGTATAACTGTGTTGATCTATGTCATTTCAACTGGGTGGCTTCCTAAGTAGTTCTTGTGTTGCTATCTTCCACATGATATGTGAGGCCAAGTTTTACAGTCGTTTTCCTATATTTGAGGAATTTTCAGGGAAGCATTTAGATTTGAATATCTGGTCCTGAGTAATTAAGACCAGTTTTATTTATCATGACATTGCAGGGTATGTGCTTTAGCCTTCCTACCCTTGATGATCCCTTCAACGACAGGAATGGTGCAAAGACTTTTGAAAGAAGAACAACCAAGAAAGAGATGCTTCCACGTAATCATGATAAGGTGTTTTTGAACGAAAAAAGTAGAGAAACTCTAAGAAACAGTGAAAAGGTAGATAATCCAGGGCAGGAAAAGGAGACAGCAACAAGTTTGAAGGATAAGCTAAAGAAATCACTGACATTGATTAATAGCATGGCCCAGAAAAGCCAAATTGACCCAGGAAGGAAAAAGACTCAGCTGAATGGGAATGGTGGCGTCTATGGGCATCATGGACAGGTCTCTGAAAACTTAGACTGTCCATCTAAGTATCTTATTCAGTGCTTGAATGCAATAGAAAATTCATTGCGTTGTGATGGTACCTACAATAATGAGGAGGACAAGCCTTTATTTGTTTGTACTTGGGGAGTTGATTTTTGGAAATGTTATTCAGCTCGAAAAGATATACTAGAGACAAGTGGAACTTCTTCTACAATAGAGCAAATTGCATGGATGGTTTCCAGCGCTGCTGATTCAATTTCTAGAAAGGATGAAGAAGATCTATCAGTAACCAGCCCATTTCTTTTGTTCCTTGTTCCGTCCCAGGAGAAAGCCACACAGGTTTGTGTCATATAGTAGCTTAGCTATCATTGGTCTTGCCTCTCAGTTCATTGTCTTTACATAATGGTTTTAAGCAATCATTGTTGAAATTTTTAAAGACCAGTTTGAGTGGCTGAACACTGTAAGGTTCAATATAGACCCCATAAAAGTGACATAAATAGGGGGCTTGAAAATATTAATTTAAGCATGATATAATTTATCACATGAAATATTAATTTAAATATATATAATAGACATTATGCCCTCGTTAA